TAGATGCAGTTGTGGGGGTAAGAGCAGGAAGGGGGAAGTGTCACAAAAGCCGTTTTTGGCTTGAGAACTGCATAGTGTTGGAGCCATGCACTCAATGAAGAAGTGGAAAAAGAAACAGTTAAGGAGGAAATCACAGGCTGCCTGGAAAACAGTATGGAGTTGCCTCAAGAAATGAAAAATGGAACTACCGTATGATCTAGCCATTCCACTTCTGGGTACTTAACCAAAGAAAATGAAAACACTAACTCAAAAAGGTACATGCACTTCCATGCACATTACAGCGTTATTTACAATTTCCAAGATAAGGAAACAATCGAAGTGTCCATCAATCGATGAATGGAGAGAGAAGACGTGGTGTGTACATATACAATGAAATGTTATTCCACCATAAAAAGGAAATATTACCATTTGTAACAGCATGGATGGATCTTGAGGGTATTATGCTAAGTGCAATAAGTCAGACAGAGAAAAGACAAGCACAGTATGATCTCACTGATATGTGGAATCTTAAAATAAAACTCACAGATACAGAGAACAGATTGCTGGGTGATAGAGGTAGGGGGTGGATGGTGAGAGAAATGAGGTCACAAGGTACAAAGTTCGAGTAATAAAACAGTAAGTCATGAAGATGTAATGTGCAGCATGGTGACTATAGCTAATAATACTGTCCTGTATATTTGAAAGTTACTGAGAGTAAATCTCAGTTCTCATCACACAAAAAATTGTAACTCTGTGTGGTGATAGATGTTAAATGAACTTATTGGGGTGGTCATTTCACTATATATATACAACATCTAATCATTATGTTGTTCCTATGAAACCAATATAATGTTTTATGCAATTAAAAAAAGAGCTAGCTTTGGCACATGCTAGCTTTGCAACACCCCCTCCACACCTGATGGAAATATTCACCACCTGTATGAGGGGCCTAGGCAGGGTCAGCAAGCTTTTTCTGTGAAGGGTCAGATAGCAGATATTTTAGGTTCTTTGTGCATACAACCTCTGTCACAACTACTGAACTGTGCCCTTGTAGAGCAGAAACCTCCATAAACAATATGTCAACCGGTGAGCCCCAATATAACTGCATTTATAGAAAGGGAGTGGCTGGATTTGAACTAGTGGGCTGTAGGCACCTGGCCCAGAGCGCATGGGCAGGTCACAGCTGAATACCTAAACTGGTTCAACAACCTCGAGCCGGCGTTTAAAGCCAGGGGCTATTGAAATGGCCCAGGCAAGGATGCACAGAGAAGATAAAACTGGCTTCTAGCCTTCAGGGGTCAGGCGGAGGAGGGGCTCGTAACCACCGGGTGGCCAGCAAGAGGGAGAGCACTGGAGAGTGAGCGTGAGGACGTGAGGAAGAGGGCCCAGTGGGGCACAGGGTTTAGGAGGCATGCACTCCCAGGCTCCCAGTGCTTCTGACTCAGTGGCCGGGGTGGTGTTGCAGATTGAGTGTGTTCCCAAAAAGATATGTTGAAGTCCCTTGTGAATGTGACTTCATTTGGAAATAGGTTCTTTGCACGTGTAATTAAGTTAAGACAAGTTCCTACTGGATTAGAGTGAGCACTAGTTCTTATACAAAGAGGAAAAGGTGGGCACACACACACACAGAGGGAAGACGGCCACGTGGACGTGGTGACGAAGGCAGACGGAGGCTGCCACGAGCCGAGGGATGCTGGCAACCGCCAGGAGCTGGGAGCAGCGAGGAAGGTCCTCCCTGGGGCCTTCAGCGGGAGCACGGCTCTGCCCACGCCTTGATTCGGACTTCCGGCCTCCAGAACCATGAGGGAGTACTTTCGTTTTTATGGTTTGAAGCCACCTGAGTTTGAAGTAATTTGTTGTAGCAATCACAGGAAACCAACACAGGTGAGCCCTGAGGTGTATTTCAGACATTTTCCAGGTTGCTCATGCAGGGGAAACAGTGATGTTTTGAGAACCAGAGGCTTCGGTACCTGCACAGGTTAATCTGTTGGCTCGAGGAGATTATGAAAGTTGCCACCTTATCTCAAGGGCCTGAGTCGGGAACTCAAATCAGTGTGTAGAATTAGAGAAACACAGGCTGGGGCTAGGGATGGGGTGGGACGGTGGGCCCGGCACCTGCATAGCAGTGACAGGGAAGGAAGGAGGGTTGCTTTGGCCACCCCCAACCTATGACCTCACCCCTCAAAAAGCATCATGCACTTCAACCACAGGAGGAGACAGGAAGCCCATTCCAGTGGGGTTTGGCCAGGAAGGAGGTCCAGTCGGCACCTTTCAATGAGCCCTCGGGACTGTTAGCAGGTGAAAGCTGGTCCCTTCTGGGGGCAGTCCAGGGATGGGGGGGTGAAAAGGCAGTGGGATGACTCCAGGCCCCAATCCAAGGGACTCCTTTGCCCAGGAGTAAGGACATTTTGTGACCTTTTGCACTGCCTGCCAAGTGACAGCTTCCCCACCACAATCCAGGTCCCTTGCAACTTCCTGTTTCTGGTGGCTCAGAGTGTGGCCCTATCCAGCTTCCCCGCTAGGCTCTTGGCACTAATAAAGCCTCGTTTTTCAATAAGAATTAATGAAAAGTTGAAATCATGTCCTTACAGCTAACTGACTTCTTGATTTTCTTCTTTTTTAAATGTTTTTGAAGTACGAAGACAATTTGAGTTTGAGTATTTTATTTCATTTTACTTTAGCCAGGAAAACACAAGGGAGAGCAGCGGTCTGTGAGATCGGGTGACTTTGCTGCAGGGGCAGTGTGCCCCGGGGTGGGATGGGATGCTGCAGGCAGCTGACAATGTACCTGAACAATTTGCACATCAGTGTGTGTTCTGTCAGCAGACTGGAGGTTGCCAGGCCATTTATAATGTCCCCACTGCTGGAAGCCAGCCCAGTCACCATCAAGGGAGAGAGCAGGAATGACCTGCTTGGGGCCAGTGACCATGTGAAGAAGAACCTCAGTGAGGGGCAAGGGCTACGGCAGAAGTCCTCAGAAGGTCACATGACTGCCGGAGAAGGACAAAGGTTACTCTAGAGGCCCTCAGAGTGGGGGTGTCCCCAGTTTAGGCCTCCCTCACAGCATTCCTAGCTTCCATGATAGGGAACTTTGAGTTTCATGGTTGTGCAGTGTCAGTCAGGAAAATAAGGGAGATGGACCACCTTTGCCTCCCCCACTCACTTCTCAGGTCCCAGCTCTCAGACGTTCTGAACATGTCTGTCTATTCCCTGTACGTTTCCTCCATTTACCCATGTTTCCACCATCACACACACATCTTCTGCTCTTTCACAAACAACAGACACAAATAATCTCCAGTAGTAATCTTTTTTAAAATTTATTTATTTATTTTTAGAGAGGGAAGGGAGGGGGAGAGAGAGAGAGAGAGAGAGAAACATGAATGTGCGGTTGCTGGGGGCCGTGGCCTGCAACCCTGGCATGTGCCCTGGCTGGGAATCGAACATGCAATACTTTGGTTCGCAGCCCACATTCAATCCACTGAGCTACGCCAGCCAGGGCTTCCAGTAGCAATCTTGACCTAGAACAAAGTTTTATTTAAAAGTTTACTTTTTATTGAGGGCCTTCCTTAATGGCAATTATAATTTTCGATAAGTAGGATTATGATATTTAATGCCTCAGACCTCAGATGCAGAAGTTGAATTTTCCAAATAATAGGAGCTGTTTATTTTCAGTCCCATCAAATAAAACCTAAATGATGAATTCTGTGTGAATATTATTTTTAGAGCTACAAAGAGAAAAATAAAGCTCCTATAAATCAGAAGAAAATATAAAAGAAAAAATGGCTAATTTGGGGGTAGGAAAAAAGTCTTAAAAAAACACAAACTGCAAATATTTCTTTAAAATACTTTGACAAGTTTGACTAAATCATAATTTTGAACTTTCATATGAGATACCTGAAAGAGAAGTGGCAAAATGGGAGAAAATAAATGCAATATGTGTCATAGAATGATGATCCAAAATTTGTAGCAAACTCTACAAATCAGTAAAAATGACACCAAAAACTAAACAAAAAATTGAGAAACAGATATAAATTATAAATTTTTATAGCAGGACACATGAAAAGATGCTCAACTTTGCCAATAATTGGGAAAATAAAAATTAAAATGAGGTACAATTACTTAACTCTCAGATCGGCAAACATTAGGAAGTCTGGTGAACAGCATGTTGCTGCAGGTGAGAAACGGCCCCTTTTGTCCATGGCCTTGGGGCAAGTACTCAGCAGCCTTTGGAAAGGTCCACAGAGCAGTGACTGTTGAAATTAAACTGCCTTCCCTTCTACCTGGCAAACCCACTTTTACACTCCTGTCTTAGAAAAAGAGTCAATCGTGTATACAAATAGGAAAGTTTGAGCTCTGCATTACTTGTACGAGGTAAGAACCAAAAACACTGTAATAGGCCGACACGAGGCAATGGTCAGTGAACCATGGCGCACCTCTACCGAGGAATACCACGCAGCCATCAGCAAGACCGAAGGGCCTGACTCATGCTCTCCCCAACACCAGGGAAAGCCACTGTACTTACAAGGTCTCGTTGGTATGACCCCTGAAGGGAAGAAAGCATTAAAAATGTATTTGTAGGAGGGTGCACAAGTAATCAGCCCCAGGGACTGTGCCTGGGGAGGGTAAGTCACTTTTCCCTGGAGACCTTATTATAGTGTTCGGTTGATGTATCCTGTGTTTGCACATTACTATTTTAGCTGTTAAGAGAAAATAATATTAATTTTCAAATTATTTACAAAGCTTTCCAGAGACAAGTTTTAAGTAAAGGAAATAAACTAAAGAACAACATTTGCATTGTACCATTTCGGTAAAAGAATACTCATAAAAAACAGAACTGCATTTTTGTTTCGACTTATGCATGTCAACACTTGAAAACGTGACGGGAGGCTCCAGTCACCACCATAGTGGACGTATGAGAAGAGCCGGGAGGCAAAAAGATTACTATAATGTGGGGGAAAGCATTCGTCAATAACTGGAAACATTTTTAAAATGTTATCTTTGAAAAATAAAGTGAAACTGAGTCAGAAGAAAGTGCACATTTATTTCAATCAAAATAAGTGACATTAAAGAGATTCGTATATTTCATTGTTTCATTTTCTAATGTATACATACTTAGGCTTATTCAAATATCACATTTTTGTAGCATAAGAATGTTTATTTCACAAATAATTTTTAACTTTGTAGCCACAATTTCCCCATATGTTTATATGATCACATCTTTTTCTCTACACTTTCTAAAATTAAGTACAGAATCTGTTAGAAGTTAAAAAAAAAGTCACGTTCTTTTTGCTGAATAATATATTATATTTAACTTAAAGATTATTAACCTTTTGGATATCAAAAACTGACGCCATTGGGGGTCACATTGATTTGTAGGCCCCAAAATAGCCCTGAGGTCTAAATAGGAAAATACCTTTTAGAAACTAACAAAAAACTCTCACTTCGAAATAAAGCACGACGATATTTACAGAATTGTGTCTGGACTAAACGTTTTTACAATTTCCAGAAACCTGCCAGATTTTCAGAAACGACGATGAAAACAGCATCACATTCAGAACACAGAGCTTATATCAAGGTCAAACACCACTGAAACCCGGGCGCCCTGTGCAGAAGTCTGCACGCACACCCTCGGACACCCGATGAACGCCGGGCACGATGGTTTGAGTGAAGAGAATTTTAATGAGATTAGTTTTGTTTATCTGAATGGGGTGTGTTATTCAAATTCCTCAGGATGTCCCAAAGGCTCTCAGGGCTGCTGGTAGCAAGTATGGGTGTACAGCTTCCCTGTATGGTTCTCATCAGACTTGACAGAACTGTGCAGCTGCAAACCAGCTTCCGAACTCCTGCTCCCGAACTGGCGTTAAAGTGCTCCCACGGGACCCCCCAGAACTTCGCCGACAGCAGGTCAACATCTGCCCCGCTCCACCTGGGAGGGCGGCCTCAGTTTGGTTTCCATTCTACATGGTCCATAAAAACAATATAAAGGGGTTGCATCGTGATGAAACAATGTCTCCCCAAACTCAAATGATGTTATTACCTTTGATTAGAGTATCTAACACTTGGGCAGGTTTGGGAAAATCTTAGCACTTCTTAAGGGTGGATTCTATGGTTAACCTGGTGCCAATCTTCAGGGGAGTCGGCCCCCATGCATTAGCCGTGGCTGAATGCCTAGCAGGGCTCTCCAGGCAGAGTCCTCTCCAGCCTGGGGCCTCTCCATGTCCAGGATGTTTCTCAAGGGCAGAGAGACCCAGACCTGGCTACAGAACCTCACCAAGGAGCTCTGATGTAAGTCCCCTGGACAAACACCACCTCTCAAGAAAAAGACCTGCATCATGGCATGCTGGCTGTGTCACGTCGCATTGGCTGGAGCCCTCACAGTGACCTTTGGCTTGCAGTCCTTCTGAATACACACCGTCCAAGCAGGTCACACCTGACATTCCCTGGGAGACACAGCGAAGCCACAGCGGCAGTCACCTTTGTGAGCAGAAAGCCAGGTCTCATTTCAGGTCTCACGTGGGTGTGGGCGCGAGCACTCACCCCTTATCACGCACTGTCCACTGTGACACAGCTCGCTGCTGAGGGCTGTCATTGAGCCGCAGGGGCCACACCTTTCACGCAGGTCTTACTTCAGGCTGGGACAGAGTGAGGGAGTTGCGTATGCAGCTCTGGCATTCACCTGAGCCACTCAAAAATCAGTTAATCAATCCAGGTAGTGGTCGGGCTTTCTACTTTCAAAAATCCTCCAGAGGTAGATCTTTAGCCACTCCTTTTAAATGTTAATGAAGGAATGTGAATTCACGGGCACAGAAGCGAGCAGCTGACTCAAGAGTCACACACAGGAGCCCAAAACAAGCTCTAGGGGCATTGGGGTGCGAGATCGATCGAGAAGGGAACAGCCCGAGTTTCAGGAGGAACCGTTCTTGTTGGCGGTGCTTTGTGGCCAGCAGCAGCTCAGTTGCGATGATGTTCTACCCAATTCCAGTTGTCGTCATAAACGTGACTTTGTTGTTTGATAAGGAGCAATTGTGCTCCGCCTTCATCCTTTCTTTCCCCAGAAGACCCTGGCCCTCCCGGCAGCTGCCCGATGTGACGGGGCTAAGGCAAGCCGGCTGCGGGGGGAACCGAGGCCCGGGCCCAGGGGAACCAGCCCTGAGGGTTTCTGTGCGGAATCTGAACAGCTCCCCGCCACGGAACAGAAAGGGTCCTGGGCACTTGCCCAATACTGTAAACAAGAAAAAGTGCTAGCATTTTATCACATAAAGGACTGGTTGTGACTTTGTGCCTCCAATAGTTTGTGATAAATCTTAATTCTGTCAGGAACAACCATATTGTATTAGAATGGAAAAATGAGCAAGCATGAATCTCCAGGTGAGCCTGGAGGAAAAAAATAACAGTGACGAACAGCAGGGCTGTAACTCATTTCACAGAGCAAACTTAGCAAAATTATGAAAAGGTGGTCTTCTCTCCTCGTGTAGTGTGGACAGGGGGGAAATACGGTGCTCTTGCCAGAGGCCGCGAGAGACAAATCATAGCTCCTTCTTAGTCCTGGCTCATTTATTTACCTCTCAGGGATGCTCTTCTTCATAACACGGTGCCCAGGCTTCTGCCTGGGGACAGCAGGCTTCGCATCCACCGGAGGGCCAGGGTCTGGCCCCACCTCGTGGGATTCAGTTTCACAGACAACAGCCCTGTCTCCGCTCACACTGGACTTCCAGAGACCTGGTCACCCACTGACAGCAGGAGAGAGTGGGCAGAGGCAGCCTGGAAGGGTCCTTCTGCACCCTTCCCACGGGATTTCCCACAAGTCCCATTTTCCAACTGGCATCATGAAATCTATCCTTTTCGGCAAAATGAGCCTCAAGTCTTAGGAAGGCCTGCGGTGGAGATGACAAAGGTGTCACAGTTTCCCGTCTTTGTATTCCCGAGGTGGCTCACGCAGCCTATTGGGAGGGACGTCAGAAAAGCAGAAGTCCACAATGTCCTGTGCTGCATGTCCCTAGCATAGCTCAAGACAGGACACCCAGGTCATTCCAGATGGGCTCTCCCAGTCTTCCCTTCCTCCTTCCCAGCACTCAGCTTGGTGCTGGTCTGGCTGTGGCACACATGATCCACATGAGCATGTAGAAAACTGAGTCATTTCACACCACACACTCCAGTATCAGATGGGAGGGCGGTACGAGCAGCAAATAGCCCACCTATGTGATCACAAAGACCACCATTCCCAGAGGGGGTGAACTTTTGTAAAATAAATACAAGGTTCCCATCCACAAGAGGCCACTGAGAGGCACTGGAGTGACTCCATGCCCACCCCAGAGCCATCTCAGCTGCCAGGGTCCCCGTTGTCCAATAACCAGGAAATCTCAACTGAGGGGCGATTCCCAAGTGTCTCCCTCAGAAACAGCAGCACTGACATAGTCTTAGAAACATTCCTTTTGTCTACTTTCATTGTAATTCACACAAATACTAAAAAATATTAAAATATACTTCAACTTTGCTCCTAACTAAGTTTATATATAAATCCCTGAGAAGGTACCTGTCAACTTGAAATTTCCTATTTATAGTTCATCAACATCAGGAGTACATACAGACACCGCCCCCTGCGCTCTCTGTACATGGGGTTGGGGGTGTTGTCATCTGTCAGGAGAGAAACCCAGGACTCCCTGCCTACCACGGGGCGGGGCGGGGGGGGCACTAAATTCTAAAGCAACTGCACAGGCGCTGGAGAATCTGCTCTTCATTTACTATTGAGTATTTGGAGGTCACGACATGATCATTCAACAGGGACGCCATGTGCCTCCCATTATGGCCTTGCTTTTCTGACTTTTTTAGACCTCAGAGTGGTAGGGCTAGGGATGAGCTAGGCACTTAGCCAAATCTGAAGAAAATGGGCAGAGGAAGAAAAGGCCAGTGAGGACAAAAAGAGGAGGCAGAGTGGGTGGCAGAGAAAACATGTGACAAAGCCAGGAAAACACATGAAAATCAGAGGGGGGCCCATCAGTGCCCCTGGCCCTGACACTGGAGGACAGGGGCTGGTGATGACACTGAGACAAGGCAGCTAGCCATCCAAAGCAACAAAAATACAGAAACACAAAAATATGGTCTTAAACAAAACGCCAGATAGGACCAGCAGGGAGACTGCAGATGCTTTCACATTGGGGACCAGCCCTCATCTCATCATCTCATCCAAGGGGACTTGGCCAATCCAACTCTTAGCCACCAGGGTCCCCTGCAGCCAACTACTACCAGTGATGCTTAAAGGGGGTCCAGACCTCTGAGCCATTCTTCTTGTGCCTTTCTGGGATGAGGAAGGAACTCACTACAGTCTGGGTTCAAAAGCTGAATTATCACCACAACTATTCCCCATCAGTTCAGGTGTAGTATGCAATATTAAGGGTTTGGGGAGGTAAGTATGAGATCCCTAATGGCTCATTGCCCGATGGTGCTGGCTGGGAGGGGACAGAGAGAGGTCAGTGCCACTCCCACTCGCAGCACGAGACAGCTGAGCATTGGCCCCAAAGTAGCAGGGAGCACAGTTTGACCTGCGAATCCAGGATTATTAAAAAGGCCTTCTAAATCTGTCTGTAGTATTTTAAATCTTGAGCTCCCAAGCAGGATACTATTTAAATAAAGTGCTGTCAGTAGTGCATATGTGACATATTCTACAACCCACATGGCCAGTAGAAGTTTTCAGTGCTTTACAGATTTGGGAAAAACTAGCATGGACAGGAAACTCCCACTGAGAGCTTGGGGCCCAGAGCAAATCACGTGTGTGCTCTGCCAAAGTCCCCGCAGCTTGGAAACCCTACAGAGTCAGCGTGAGGATAAACTGAACCTCGGGACAGGTATCAAAGGAAAAAGGAAAGTTCACACGGCGAACCTTTGGAACTGCGTCTGGAGGAGGGAGCCACCCGGCCCACCGGAGGAGAGTTTGGCTGGAACTCGCCTGCTCAGAGTCAGCTCTCACCCCTGCTCTCCCAGAGGCTACTGCCCTCCTGCCCTCCTGCCCTCCTGCCCTCCGCGTCAGCAGTTTCCACTCCGGGCCCCTTCTTCCTTTTGCACGGTCTCCTATTCTAACAACATCTGAATTCAATTTATCAAAGAGCACATGACTTGATTTTGTATTTCTAATAATAATTTATTAGAGTTGCCCCTGTTTGGTTAGGACGTTTTCCCTCTTATATCTGTTTTTGAATACGGTAAAGATGTAGTATCCAGCTTATCTGAAATCCCGTGCTTCAAATGAGTTTAGTTCTAGCAATAAATACGTTGCTCTATGCACCATTTCATGCTTTGGCAATAGGTATTTCTTCATTATTATTAGTGTATAAATAAGAGAGCTTGAAAAATAAGATACAAGGCAATCTGATTCCTGTCTCACTTGATCATTTTGCTGTGAAAATGCTGCCACCAAATAGAAACAAATATTTGGCATCACTTAGTGAAATCAGCAAGAACACACAGGGTTGTGCATACCCAGAATGAAAAGGTAAGGCAAGATCAAAAACAAAGAGCAAAATGGGGGAGAATTTCACAAGTTCCATATGAAATCATAGTGCTATCACAAATGATTATTGCTAGAGACAGTATTTCAAACAAACGCTCTTCAGAAAAAAATGCATTAAAACTGTTTTAAATACAAACAGTCCCACCACCAGTAAAATGTTGCAAATTGTATCATGATTTAAAATACAAAATTATACAGAAAATGCCCTTTGATAAATTGCTTTTAAAATTTTTTCTTGAGGTTCTAAACGCAGACTTAGGCAAACTGCCCACTAAGTGTATCGAATGCTAGGGGAACTGGTTTTAGGCAAAGCAGTCTGTGCTATGCCCACCTCACTCTTGGATGCAGGCTGAACAAACACGGACAGCTTTCTGGCCCCACAGAGGATACTGCCCCGGAAGGCCCTGAGCAGCGAGGGTGGGCGGGAGGCGCACCTTTGCTGGCACTGAGCCACGCAGACTCCCCACAGCCTCCTCTGGGGACCCTGGGTAGCGCGGCATCCAGACCCAGCTCCCCTCACGTCCTTTTCCTCCAAGGCACCACCCTTCTTTCCTTCTCCGCTGCTGCCACCCGCTGCTTCTCCGCCTCTTCCGCCTTCTTCCTTTCCTCTTTGGCCTCCTTGTACCTCCACTTGGGGAGCTGCAGGTGGGAGCTGTCCTTGGTGCTGCCCTTCGCAGGCACCCGCTCGGGCTGGAAGGTGGGCGCTGGTGCCTTGGTGATGCGCACCCTGGGGATGACCACGCCCGGCCGCATGCTGCTCCTCCTGAGCAGCTGTAGGGGCAGGAGACTGGCCTTCGGTGGGGCATCTGGCTGCTGCAGAGAGGGGAGGCTGGCTCTTTGGGCCCCCTCTCTGGAGACGCCCCCAGCGTGGGAGGTCTGGATTCGCTCCTCAGTGCCCTCCGCCTTGTCCCTCTCCTGGGCAGATGTGCCCAGGGCCCCAGGAGCCTCCAGGATTTCCTGCACTGCCAGCCGCCTTTTTCCCACACAGGGGGGGTTCTCGGGGCACACGGTCTGGCAGGCGATGGCCACAGCAGGACTGTAGAGACTCGTGGTCATCTTGACCATGTGGTCCAGGACCCCTCCATCCTCCAGGCCCTGGCGTGAGCGGTGGGTCAGCGTGGACCGCACAAACTTGGTGAACCTCTGCAAGCAGTTTTTGGAGTCTGCAGACTTCGAAGCCCCCTCGAGGGGCAGCGGCAGCTCTGGTTTGTACCTGTCCCCAAACTGCTCCGGGAAGGGTCGCTCCAGCAGCCTCTGGATGAGGCGCACCGCTTCCATCCGCCCCGTGTAGGTGGCCCACTCCTGCGGCGACATCCCGCGGCGGGGGTCCCTGGCGTGGACGTCTGCCCCTGAAACACACAAAACAGAAACTGTCATTCGAGGAGGCAACAAGGGCCTTTCCCTTCCACAGACAAGAAAAGAAAATCACTGGAATGAAAACAAAGGTCAAACTTCCAAATAACAGAATCTGCCCCCGGCCAGGCGGATGAACCTGCCTCTGACCGGCACCTGCTGCATTTGCTATTGCAACACGAGGGCATCTTTCAGTGCGCCGTCTAATGGCTTGTCTGTCCCAAATGAAACCACCTGAAGTCAGCGCCTCAGTCTTGGAGTTTTTAAAGAAATGAGATTTCATGGCTCTTCATCAACGGAGAGATGACGACAACAAAGGTGCTGTGTGAACATGGGGTAAGGCTGCTAGAAGGTTCTACAACTGCTAACGGTCACAGTCCCTCGCATTTATTGATCACCTCACCTTTCCCTCACAGACCCTGTGAGGGTGGTGGTGGTCATTATGTCACAGAAATGTGAGGCCGTTCGCGTGTCCAGTACAGAGGCTACCTCTCGCTTGCTTTTGTTTCCTCAACACACAACGTCCCGGTTGGCAGGCGGCATGCATTTCGTAAAGGGTTGTTACAGAATGGATGGTAGTCGCAGTGGGCAGGGGGCCTGCCTGAGGCCTTGGAGCTGGTCAGGGAGCAGGTCCCCGACCCTCACCCCCGTGCTCTTCCCCCCACCCCACGCACGGGGCGGCCCCTGCCTCAGGGACGGTTTTCTGAGTCAGCCGGGCCAGGCTCTAGTTCAGGGATTTAATCAAACACAAATCTAGGTGTGCCATGATGGCATTGGGTGGATGTGGTTAACGTCCACGCACAGTGGACTTGAAGTCAAGGAGACTACCTGAAATAAGGTGGGCGGGCCTCGTCCAATCTGCTGAAGGTCTTAAAAACAAAAGATGAATTTTCTGGAGAACAGGGACTTTGGCTTCAGGACTTCAGCATCAGCCCCTACACAGGTGTCTAGCCCACTGGCCTGCCCACGGATGTCGAGCTTGTCAGCGTCCCAAACCACATAACCCAATTCCTGGAAACAAATCTCTTAATAAAATAAACCTCTTAAAATGTATCACCCACTGGTTCCATTTTCCTGGAGAACTCCTACATCTTCACAGCCTCACTTACACTAGGCACTTCCTTAATAAATCTCCCCCACACCACTCATGGCCCCCTCCTAATATTTTATAAATTTCAGCTTGGTAGTAAAACAAGAATTAATAAGGAATTGCTGTTCAATTCATCTTGGTCCAATCTCAGCCCCATATACAGTTGAAAACTATTCAGGGTTTCAAGCCCCATCAGTCATGTTTCCACTGGCAGCAACGTGGAGAAGTGGGGCAATCATCCAGGGCCTGCGCGCTCTCCAGGGCCAGGCCAGGCGGAGGCCGCCGCCCCACACAGACCCAGGCGTCTGACCTGTGGGGACTGGTCAGTATGCGCTGGACTGAGAACAGCAAGGGACCTCGCCCCCCCACCCCCTCGTGGTCTTGCGCCCCAGGCAGATCCAGCTCACCTGATTTCACCTGGCAACGCCTTAATTCTGTGACACATTAAGGAATAGCCACATTAGAAGAGTGGTAATTATTTAGAACTGGAAATCAGGATGGAACTCATTAGCTAGAGTACAATTTATAAACGGACTGAAATGAAAGGGGGCAGTAAAAATGTCATCGCAAAAAATAGATGACACATTAAACCTTAATTAATTGCATGTCACTTAAAAAAAGGAACAAACTGCAAAATTAAAATCTTAATGAACACTGCTTGAAAGAGACATTTTTCAAATGCTAATGGGAAACGGAAGGAGCAGCTGTCCAGAGCGGAGCGCACCTCTTCCTGCTCCTCCCGTCCCTTTTCAAGACGATCTCGGAAAACACAAACACTCTGAGGAACAAAGGCCCTTCTAGCGGTAACACAGCCCAAGAATCTTATTCATGTTGTAAGTCAGGGGTTCCCTTCCTTAAGGAATTACTGGGAAGGGTCATATGAATGGCCTGATTGTAGTGATTAAGTCACGAGAGACACGTACTGACGATTAACACGGTCCATACAGGGTGGGGCAAAAGCAGGTCTACAGTTGTGAGTGTGCGAAACACAGTTTATTCTTGTGTTATTATTTATTAATCATCGTATTATTTTTCCATACAAACAAATGTAAGCCTACTTTCGCCCCACCCCGCAGAGCTTTGAGAGACTATGGGAAACTTGCAAAACACAACTGTACCCATCTTCTCCCCGTGAGACTATCGGCCTCCTCCCCTCCTGCCCAACGCTGCCTCACCCAGGGTGCCAGCCGTGCAGGCGAGGGCTGGGCTCCTGCCAGTGGGTCCATTTGCTGCCGTGCTAAGGGTGGCGAGTCATCTACACAAAATCCTCTATTTTGTTCAAGGGAGCTGCGTACTCAGTTCTAGGCAACGCACCATGAATGGTCTAGCCCAGGGTTTCACAGCCTCAGCACTGTGGATGGACATTTTCGGCCACATGGTTTTGTTGTGCAGGTGGTCCTGTGCACTGCAGCGCCTCTAACAGCATCCTTGGTCTCCACCCACTAAAGGCCAGCAGCATTCCACCAGTTGTAAAAACCAAAAATGTCCCAGGCCTTGCCAAGTGCAATTCTGTTCCCCACTGGAGCCTCCAAAAGAAGGCTGTTGCATCCTGCTGAGAGGGACACATACGGTGAGGGCTGCTGCTTCCAGTCTGAAGCATGAATCTGCAGCCTGGAGCTGTGAGGACCATCTTGCAAACATCAGGTGACCAGCAGCCAAGCTGAGGTGGGGTGGGGCACGAAGTGGACAAGAGGAAGGAACCTGGGTCTGTGATGTCCTCATGGCCCAGGACAAGCTCTGCATGGTGACTGCCTACCTCAAAATTTCTAGTGAGGTCTGAAAAACACAGGCCCATCTTCCTTAAACCACCATCAAGTCAGACTGCTATTCCTCACAGCAGAAAGCACCTAAACAGGTCCTAAAGCAAAACAAGCTACCTGCCCTCCCTCATTCTCAGGCTGCTTTTCCCAGGGAGTCTTGGCCAGGTCCGTGGAAACAGCTAGAGAGAAGCAGAGCCTGAGATGCATCACTCCCCTCCCTGCTTCTCCACCAGCACCCATCCCCACCTCACCTGTCCTTCGAAGCCTGGTTCTGTCTCCCTCCCGCCCAGAAGCCTTTCCGGTCACATGGGACCACTGTGGACCAGTCCCTGAAAGCCTCCTCCTGTGCCACCTCTGGCCTGTATCTTGGGCACTTAGGATGCAATCAGTACGACAAGTCAGGACGCAGGGTCACAGAGTTACCCCAGATGGGCATCAGGCCATCTACACTCCAGACCACTGCTCAGAGGGGAACCGCGACAGGTTTCCCACGCCCAGGAGCCCCCAGCCCCAAAGGACCCGAGTTGGGGGATAAACACCCCAGCTGCCCTGGAGCACCCCCACAAGCCATTCCTGAGATGTTTTGTACTAGTCTTTTCGAGGTTCCAGGAAGGGCCGACTGCCGGTTGTCCATGGGGGTCACCAGCTCATCAACACAACTTACTAGCTCTCCTGTCATCCTGCCCTTACTTCCCTATCCTTCGCACCACCTCCCAAGGTCACCTTCCAGAACAACTGCTTGCCCTCAAGCCCTTGCCTCAGGGTGTGCTTTCGTGGGGACCCAAGCTAAGACACTGCCCTACGTGATACACAATGCCTAATTTTTAGCTCTCTTTCTGCTTAACAACTTGAAACTATTCCAGCTGGGCAAATTCTTCGTTCATAGGAAATTCACGTTTTCCTTATAAACAGAAAGCAACCTTTGAGTGGTATCATACGCTTTGCCTTTCCAGGAGCACAGTCTGGGCTAGCCCAGGACAGAATGGCCGCACGGTCAATACCATGCGTGCTCCCCGTTCCTCAGGAAACAAGCCTCCCACACCTGCTGCTTTTCTCCGTAGAACCACAAATGACTTCGCAGTTTTCTGTTTGCTTGGATTTGCTTCCCAGGTGCTGCAGCAATTTACACTACCCCCTGGGTGGAAAGCCGGCTCTCTTAAACAAGTCTGGAACCTCCCAGCCTCCACCGAGTCCTGTCTGTCTTCAGAGACAACCACGTCCTCCACGCAGCTTCCCAGAGCCACTTACTTAAATAGACCTGTCACTGTGGGGCATTAATATTCATCCCATTGCATTAACAAGGTTCCACAGCCTTTCCTGTGATTCTCATCAGCAGAGCCGACAGTATTCCTTGGGAAGCCAAAAGCCAAAGAGCCAATAAATCAGCTTTTCAGAACCGGTTATATTTTTAGTAAAATCCAAAGTCCTGATAATTCTAACATTATTTTGTTCTGCCTGACAAGGTAAGATAAGAGCTGTTATGTGCCTGTAGGTTCTCAGCTATTGGAAAAGGCGAACAGTTTAGGGGAGCAACCGGTTCAATGACTCATCACTTCTAAAAGGAAATGGTTCTTATTGAATAGAATGAAATTGCAACCCAGAAATTCAAACTCAGGGGCAGAAAAACACTCAGTTACAGAAGAATTCTGCACTGGACAAAATGAGCAGGAGATACACACCTGTATCCCAACCATTAATATGTAGCAATGCCAATGAATGCCTTTTGCTTTGGAAGTAACCACAAGATGACCATCCTGTGCTGGTCCCCAAGGTGCCTTCTGAGGCTGTACACAAATGCCAATCCAAAAGAAATACTCAGGCATTCATATCTTTAAAAGCTTTAATTTTTCTTAATATGGATAAGACAAAAATACTTGCGCAAATTTTTAAAATGTCTTTACAAGTATCTTAGTGCTGTCCACCAAACCCTGGGAAGACATTCAAGCACATTTTTTTTCCCTTTTAAAACACACATACTCGTCTACTATAAAAAGAAAACGAAACTCGCTTTCCTGGGAGAAAGAACCATACACTAGCATAGTAGTAACAGTAGAAAATGAAAATATTCTAGAAGTCAGACTCTACAACCAAAGCCTTGGAGGGCCGGGCATAAAGGTCCCTGAAAAAAAATGTCAGGTTTTTATTCTAAGAAAGAATATAGAGCGAGTTGAAAAGAAAGTATACAAGAGGGAAAAAATTTTCTTCCCACGTTCTCCCTCTTTTCACATGTACACTAGTGACATCAGTGGTTCTCGTTAGGGAGCAACTATACCCCCAGGGGACATCCGACAAAGTCTGGAGACAACTTTGGTTGTCGAACCTGGAGGATGCTGCAGGCATCTGCTGTCCGAGGCCAGGGATGCTGCTGCGCACCCGTCTAGTCCCGGGACAGCCCCGACCAGAAAGAACTACATGGCCCCAAAAGTCCACAGTGCCAAGGTTGAGAAAGCCTGAGTTAATGCTTCTTGCCCTCAATAAGAAGGCTTACACATCTCAGCACAAGGATATTTTTCCAAGGGAAAAATAGACCATATTTCTTCATTTCTTAAACAGATAATTATTGAACACATAAATTCCCCCTAAACTATAACACAACAATAATAACCAACGCTGACTGAAGGCTTCCTTCATGCCAAGCACGAGTGCAAGGGCTTTCCACACATGGACCCATTCAGTCCCCATCACGTCTTCCTGCAGGAGCCCCTGTCGTTGGCCCCATCTTATAGAAGGGAAAACTGAGGCTCGGGACACACAGTCCAGAGATGAACACGGTCAAGGCCTGTACTCAGGCGGGGTCGAGACTTGGATGGGGCCAGGCTCACAGTAGAGGAAACAGGAAAAGGAGAGTATGTAACACCTCATGCCCAGTTTGTTATCCAAATAGCTGTGTAGGAAAAAAAAAAAAAACACTTAGCAAGGAACACACTGCCTGTAAGCAGGCCCACCTTTCAAAAGACCAAAAAGGTGTTTCTGGAATCCTGTGAGTGCCTAGCCAGTGCCTGCAATCTCCACCAGACCCGGAGGAAAGTAGGAAAGCAGCCGAACCTGGGCACTTGCCAGAGTAACTGGAAGGCAACCAACCTACAGACAAAAGGGTTTGTGATTCAAATTAATTCATAGGGGAAAATGCACAGATGTGACTGACACCATGCATTTTTGGTTGAAAGAGTAAATTACTAAAGATCTATACTCAGCTGTAACTAGATCCAGAGTAAAAGCAGACAAAGCTTCCTCCCGACACAGAAGCATCACAACCACCATTTAATCAGGACTAGCACTCTCCCCAACACAGGACTGGCAGGGCGTAAACTGTTGAAACTCACATCTCACTTTTGAAACTGTCAGTGAGTCCAAAGCACAGTCAGTGGGATTAATGTTAAGTATGATCTTTTTTATTTCCAAGAAAGTTTCATCTTCGAAGCCTCTGTCTTCATTTACTGAACTTATTTTCCTTACAACATCCCCTGAAACACTCCGGTTAAAGCAGGAGAAAAGGGAAAAAAAACTAAACTGTTCGGAACCGCCCTGCCTGGTTTCAGAAGCTGTAACCCCCCTCAAGGCTAAGGCTGAGAGAGACCTTGGACCATAAGCCACTAAGGAGACAAAAGCTTATCTCCCTGACAGAAGCTCCGCTTCTGCTCTTTTTTCTTCATCCTGCCTAGACCCCAATGCTTGGTTGGCTAGCCAATGACAGGTAAGATTCCCCAAGCGGAGGAACGACACAAGACAAGCACAATCATGTGGGAGGCCCCCAAAAAACGATTTGGAGGACTACAGCAAAAGGGGATGATGGACCCTTGCCCCTCGGCTTCGACAAAGCCTGAGTCCTCATTCTGTCTGCGAGAAGTCTCTTCATCTCTTGGTTGCCTTACTTCCCTTGCTCCACCTAAACCTGAAACAATGACAGAGGGTGGTGCAGCTCTGTGCTGGAAAGGGCGGGTTTCCTGGGTGATCAGGCCTAAGAAAGAATATGTAAAATCCTGTGAAACCTGCTTTGTTTAGAATGCTCTCAATGAAATGATAAGGGTCCAAGCAAGAAGTGAGTTTGTTCCTCAAAGTTTTACAGCTCTTTAGCTATCTGACTCTGACTCCAAATAGGCCCTCAGAGTTCTTTGTTATCTATTGTTTGATCCTTACTGCCTGACAATGATTAATGAGCTTTATCTGCATTCCTGTGCAAATGAACCCAATAAAAGCCCATTGAGGAACAGGCCCTTCTCCTTTGAGAGATCCACCACCTTTTCTCCCCAAGCAGATCATGTCTTGGTAGACTTATTCTCACCCATGGCAGCCAGGAGGGAGGGCCCTGAGGGCGAAGCCCCCCCCCCACCGCACTAAAGCAAGCTGTGGATCGTATAACCCATCTCATCACAAGGAAGCAACAGGCAGGCGCGGCCTGGAGGACGCTGTATGGTGGCCAGCATGGGGACGGCCAAGTCATGGGCAAGGAGATGAGACTGGGAAACTGTCACGGACCCCAGGAGACTAGGGACACGACAGCTACATGTGGGAGCCTGGATGGGGCCCTGAAACAAACAGCTCATGGAAGAACTGGTAAAATCTGATGAAGTCCAGAATTTACTGAATGAGAATGCACCCATGCCAGTAAGATGGTAACAGCGGAGACGAGGGAGGGCTGTGTGGCAGCTCTCTCTCCTGTCTTCGTCACTTTACCATACATCTGCAATGGTTCCGAAATAAATGCTGTCTGAACAGTGCTGCCAGCCTAGGGAAATGGCTGGGAGAACTTCGTCACTGTCCTCAGGACACTACGATGGGAGGGAGGGGAAATGCCACCTCTCCAGGAACTCATGGCACCATGTGGGATTGGCGGAACCCAGGGCCAAGAACAAAACAAAATTAAAATAATGAAATTAAATAATGTCGACAGCGGCATCTCACACTGACTGAGATGTGAGAGGCTCACCCTGTGCTGGACCCTGGGTGAGTATTTGACACGCATTTTGTCATTTAATTCTCAAAATAACCCAATGAGGTTGTGCTAACGATGATTGCAACTCCATTTTAGAGCCAGGGAAAGAGCTAGAGATTAGTCATGTGGAATTTAGCACAGTAGTTCATTAAAGCTGCACAGCTCCTGAGAATTTACCAAGTATTGTCCTATTTCATCCTGGGGGTGGGGGGAGGCGGGCAGTGAGAAAGAAGTCAGCGCTCCTGTTTCAAAGACGGAGATAGGGAGGCTCAGAGACGGAAGGGCTTCCCCCAAGACAATGACATCATAAAGGGCAAGGGGTTGATCCAAAGCTACAGACCGAGCCCTTTCCACTCTGTGACACATCATAGAAAAGGAAGCTGCCACACACATCACCATGTGACTCCAACCACCAGCAGGCGGGCACCTAGGATGGCAACTGGGCTGACGCTGCCGTCCCTGCGCCCAGCGTCAACAGGGCAGACGAGCAGCTCAGAGCCAAGGCCAGAACACACGTTGCAGAAGAACATGGGCAGGACTAGGCTAAGGGGCGAGGGAAGAGCTCATCAGGGAGCAAGGAGGGGCAACCCGTGCCATGACCTTTGACTCCACCCTGAAGTTGGCTGCCTGTGCTGTTTGTTCCACCTTGAATGAGGACAGCCATATACTTCGAAGAAACTGTTCTTTGTTGCAACCTCTAGTCTTAGCTTCCACAGGACTGACTCATCCCTTCAACGCCCACTCCTCAAGGAAGCAAAGTCCACATTGCCCAGGTCCCCAGGACCGCGCAGGACGGGGCAGACATACCTGCTAGCATCAGGGCTCGGATGCACTCTGTTCGGCCCTGCATGGCAGCTTTCATCAGGGCCGTGAACCCAAACACGTTCCTCCTTTCAAGGTCAAGACCAGGGAAGTAGTTCAGCAAGTAGTTGGTGATGATGGCATGCCCTGCAAAGAAATTTGCACATGTGAAGAGACCACACTCCACAGAGCGCTCCTTCCAGTGAGGTCTTCCTAGAGGGAGAGAAACGTGGCAGCACCGACCTCCCGGGCCAGCCCACCTGCAGGGCATGAGTTTGCCTCTGAGACCACAGGAAAGAATCCTCACGGAGTCCAGGAAACAGGATGACACTGGATGCCCCCCTGGCCACAGCGGTGCTGTCTCTATGGGTTCATCTTTGTTCCCTTTGCCCGCCCACTTGGGAGCTCAGCTGGCCTGTCACACTGTTAAGGAGGGGACGTGAGCAGCCAGGGAGCTGCAGGGTGGCATGTGGAAGTGCTGTGCCAGCCTCAGCAGACACTGCTGGTCAGGGGAAGGTCCTGGATGTGTCAGCTTCTAGATGCAAGGCCGGAAACGAGCCTCTGGGCCATTTCCCAGGGCTCCCGGGCTCCAGGCAGGAGAAAGTCATCATTGCAGCAAGAGGATATGCCAGTGCACACTGCCACCCTCTGTCACTGCTCCAAAGTGTCTGCCTCTATCTCTTGTGCACACACATGCATGCAAGCGCACACAGAAACATATATGCACACATGTACAGACATGGTAACACAGACCATGTTGCTACCAAGACCTCAGCCAGAAACCCCAGCAGGCAAGAACACTCATCTGAGAAATCCCCTTTATAGATAAAGGGGATTTCTCCCCTTTATCATCTTGCTCTTCCAAAAGAGAGCTGGTTTTCTGCTGTTCTTACCCTCCTTAGTTGAGGTGAAAAAGGAGAGCATCATCTGAAAAGCAGTATTCCCAGAGTCTTCCAGGCTCCGCCCCCTCCCCTCTCAGAAAACTAAAATGCCGTGGGAGCATCCCTCAAACAGTGCTTCCTGTGCCACAAGGACAGGCTTTGGGTCAAATGTCCATGCAGCCTAATGCCCACCAGCCATACATCTGACATCAGCGTGTGAAACGACACACTGCCCTCCCCCACTTCACTGCCCTGGAGCAGAGCACTGGCCTTGGCACTAGTGATGCTCAGGGCCAGATTATCCTCAGCGGCAGGGCTGTCCCTGCACAGTAGGCCCCTTGTCTCCACCCGCTAGATGCTGGCAGCAACCACACCCTCCTCCCCCGCAGAGCATGACAACCAGAAAGGTTTCCAGACATTGCCAAATGCCACCTGTGGAAGCAAACTCGCCCCACTGAGAATCACTGCCCTAGAGGCTCAGCCTGCATTGTTTCAGGACCAACCACATCAAGGTGGAAGACAGCTTCCTCTGCTCCTCACCTGCACCCTTCACCCTGCCCCCACCCCCAGGCCCCCCTCTCAGCTGCCATCTGCATCCTGGCCCTGCTGGTGATGACTAGCATACTCTGGGGAGTAAAAGCAGACGACTGCGGAAGCCCTCTCCTGGGCCCGGGGGGCCTCGCTGGTGCCCAGTCTGCATCCATATGCACTATGGATCCAGCTCCCTGAAATGCTCCCACTCACCCCCACCACATGCGTGTGCCTTTGGAACTGCCACCGTCAGATTGCAGGTGTGCAGCTTCACGGGCATTTCACAGTGCATTCTCCGTCCTTAACTGGGCAGCACTCCTGCCCTCCAGGGAAGCCTCTGCACCAGGGCGAAGCCAGGACCCAGGAAGCTCCTCCCCAGCTGATTTCAGAAAGGGCACTGGGTGAGATTTAGGATGTGGCAGGAAGGAAGGCCTCCTCCCGGGGATGGGCAGCCTGGGGACGCAGGTGCTTCCCTCATGGCTCATCCAATTGCCCTGCAGGTGAGAAGGCCACAGCCAGTGCCACCCAACATTATCTCCGCCACAGCGGCACACAGGGGCTGAGATACAGTAAAGACATCTGAGGATTTGACTTTTTACAAAAGGGACATATCAGTGAGGAAAGAATCAACTTTCCAATAAACTGTACTGGAGCAACTAGAAATCTATATGGAAAAAAAATAAATACTAAATCTCTATCTCACACCAAACAAAATAATCAACTCCAGGAGAACTATAGCTGTAAAAGTAGGTATGAGAACCACCATCACCCCACCCCCACCTCGGACGAAGGCTGGGACCCAGTTTCCTTCCTCAAGAGCTGATGCCCAAACAGCATCAAATCCTCACCAACTTCCAAGTTAAAAACAAACAAGCAACAAAAATTAGAGTGCAGACTCTTCTAGAAGCATTGTTGTCTGCTTATCATTGAACTCAGCCCATGTTCTGAACTCACTGCAAAAATTAAAAGATGAAACATATAGCTTTTCTGGGAGGGAAACACTGATACAACTGCACTGTGGGTTAGCAAGCCAGAAACAGATGTGTGCGACCCCCCCAGCTCTGTGACTCACAGGTTCCCACCAGCATCTGATGCTTTTGACTCATTTCAGCCACTGGCCCTCCACTGTCAGTTACAGGGGAGTCAGGTGCCCAAACCAGCTGAATTGCTGTAAACTGGGCCGGGGGGGGGGGGGGGGTCCTTCGGTCTCAGTTAGGTTTGTCATCTGGTTACACGCTCTGTGGCACCTGTCAGTTAGATTTAGCCAGGGTCCTAGTGAAACGAACTGCAATTCATTTAGAGCCATTTCTTTGAAGACATGAAAGAGTGTATCTGTTGCAATTTTCAGCACGATGTCCTTTGCACTGATATATTCTAAACACTTTGAACAAGCGAGCAGAGGAAAAATTGAAAATCCACAAGGCAAATAGCCCATTATACAGGTCTGTTCTGCATATTAGGGTGCACTCAGAAAAACCAGCACGTGGGAAACTCATGCTGACCACAGGTGTGAACTTGCAACCACCCAAGAAATTCCCTCTGCCTTTCCCAGAACAGCAGAACAATACCTCTTATCACACAGACGACCTCATTGGAAGAAATCAGGGTGAACCCGAGGCTTCCAAGAATGTGTCGACATTAACCTTTCTTCTTAAAAACCATGACAATTAACCAAGGGGAGCTTTCCTTTTCTTTTGTAAGAAAGAAAAATAGACAGACAGACAGAACACAGCCTTCCTTGCATTTCAAAACCCAACCACGCACCAGAGTGACACCTAGTCTGAGACTAGTCCAACTTAGTCCTTACAGAACAGGATTTCCTGAAGTCTGCAGAGGAAGCCCTTTTAAAAGGTGGGCCTCACCTACAGACCCCAAGAACACCTTGCCCCCATGACCCTCGCCCTGCCTGAGAGAAAGACACAAGTGATCCAAGAAATAAGTCCATGTGAAATAGCTCCAGTGGGTGAGTGAACAACAGTGTAGACAGAGGGAGTTAGATGAGAACACCCAAGTTCAAGTCCCTAGTCTGCCACGTAAAATCTGGGTGGCCCTGGGAAGGTGAGTCAACCTCACCGAGTCCCTGTTTCTGCATCTGGAAAATGGCAGATAACGTCAACCTCACGACTGTGAAAATTACAGGGGTAATGTGCTGTACAAAAAGTGCTTGATGTAACAGACAAACTTCTGGGCGGAAAAATCGCCAGTAATGGATGCAGGGATTCCACACTCGAGGAGCTGGAACGCAACAATGCACCCCTTAGCTTGCAGACCCCCTCCAGAGAGCAGAATGGGAGAGGGAGGGAGGGGAGAGAACTTCACAACAGAGAAACCTGACAGACACAACCTGACAGCCAGGTGATCAAGGTCAACACCAACGGTGACAAGTCACGCCGATAACATGTACTGACAAACCGTCTTTGACTGAACTTCAGTCAGGCTCCTGAACCTTTCCCCAGGCCCATCTGTGCATCTCCTTGTAATATCTATTGATGGTTTTAGCAAAACCCCCACCTCTGATACCCGATCGAACTCCTCTGCCCCCGCCGTCCCCAGGTGTTGACTGGTCCCATGGCCTGTCTTAAGCAACAGTCCCTGTCCGGTTGGTTTAGCTCGAATCCCTCACACCCCTGATGCTTCCTCGAAATTTTTTCCCCACTGACTTTCACCTTGCTCCTTGGCTGTAAGTCCCCACTTGGCTTTGTTGTACTTGAATTTGAACCCAATCTCTCTTTTCCCATTGCAAAGTCCCAGTGCAGTGGCCTCTACACCTATCAGGATGACCCTGAATAGGGTCTGCCTTACCATCTGCAATAAAAGGCATTTAATATTTTATTCTTTAGCAGTACCCTCGATATGATGTGGTGAGAACGGCACTTTCCTCTGTGGTCCTTCTCCCCAAAATCCATAGCTCCAGTCTCATTGTGAGAAAAACACCAGACAAATCTCAATGGAGACACATTCTACTAACTACCTGACAAGAACTCCCCAAACTGACTAAGTCATAAAGTCTGCGAAACTTCAGAGCCACGAGAAACCTTGGGGGAATGACAATTAAGTGTAGTATGTAATCCTACATGGGATCCTGAAACAAACAAACAAATAAACAAAAACATTAGGAAAACATGGAGGAAGTTAGAATAAAGAATGAACTTGAGTTAATAATAAAAATGCATCAATATTGATTCATTCATTGTGTCAAATATACCATACTAATTAATGTCAGATCCTAATAGCAGGGGAAACCAGGTGTGGGGTATACAAGAATTCTCTGTACAATCTGGGTTGTTTTTCTATAAGTCTAAGCTATTCTAAAATCAAAGCTTATTTTACAGAAGGGAGATCCTAGCATAAGGCTACTTGACAAGAGTACAAGGTAGGGGTGATGACTCTTGGCTGGCTACCAAATGTCACTCCCCTCCATGCTTCCCCCAAGCCTTACTGATAATGGGCGGAGCTCACCAGGAGGCTGCGATGGGCATGCAATGGACTAAAGATAGTGGCTGGGTCCCTGGGAGGTCAGGAGGATGGACAGAAGTAGTTGACTCATAACACTGCTCTAGTAGAGAATAGAGAGACCTTGGTGGTTGTTTGGCCGAGCCACGTAACAGAAAGAGAAAAGCCACAGATGACACCTGGTCTACCACAGCCCTGGTCCCTGGCTCTACTTTGGATGGCCAATGGCGTCTTTGCTGAGAGTGTTTGGGGTAGAAGCCCATGGTACCCAAGCTTGACCGG